GTCACGTCTCTGCAAATCTTCCGCCATTTCATCTGATGGCGGAGGCGCCACTTGGGCGGCTCGTTTCAATTGAATTCAATTAAATGGCAAATGGTCCTTCCTTAGTGAGGTTCCACTATTCCATTTCCATTACCATTCGCATTTAATTTTATAACATTTATTCTACCAATATTTATTATTAGAAACGACACATGGTATGTAACGAGCAGGTGGGGCAGGGAAGGAGTAGGGACCGGGACCGGGGCCGGGGCCGGGGCCGGGGCCGGGTCCGACAATTGTCGTGGTGTCAGCACAAGGACATTAGGCGGCATTATTTAGGCTTTGGCTTTGCATAATCCCCGCTTGTCTCTGTCTCTGCCATCGGACTCGCATATCTTTCTGGGTGCTGCTGCCATCTGCGGTCTCTTCTGACTGCCATTGTGTGGGCAGATCGTGTGGGGGGTGCGGAAGAGGATGTGCGTGCCAAGGCCATGAACAAGAACAAGAACAAGAGACACAAACACGTCAATGCCATAAACAGCACACACAACACTAAGAATAAGACCAACAGCAAGAGCAATACCAAAAGCAGCAGCAACATCCGGAACTCCCCTTCCCTCCCATCACTCCACTCCACTCCAAGGTCATGGGGGAGTCAACACGCCTCGCCAACGCACGAGGGGATAAAAGTAAATTAGCGACCTATCAAGAATGCTCGAACGACTAGGGCACGGCGCAGCCCCATCTCCGTCTCCCCGTCTCCGGCTGTGTTATGAAAAATGTCCGTAAAGTTTGATGAGAGACATGTGGATTTGGCCAAGGAGGATCCTCCTAAGGTCCAATCGGGGACCAATCAGCAAGAAGGGCCGTCGCCGCAGAAGAGGCGGCAGTCTGTCGTCCATGATAGATTCATCGATTTGCGAGCTATACGCTCCCAAGGCAGGGTCATTTGTCAAGTATTCCCGAAGGTATGGTGGAATTGGACGTGGACGATGCACTATAATTCGAGCGGCTTATGAATATTCCATCATCCATTCCCCGCTTTCGCGGCACTTCGATTTGATTATCCTGTCATTTGTTCCCGTGGCGTGAGGCGGAAGCGTGAGCGTGAGCAGGAGATTATAATAAGAGAGTGTCTGTCTGGGTTGCGCTGAATTATGAATAGAATCAGACGTAGGTCAGACTGCCGCCACTCCAACGGAAATGGTAACGAGACGGCGACGATGTGCGTGCCACTCAGCCGTTGGCTCCACTGACGCAATGACTGATGGCCCACGCACAATTAGCCCCGAGTAGAATGTTGAATGGTGAATGGAGAATGGAGAATGGAAACACGCAAGCCTTCTCATGGAGGATTAATCGTCATCGCTTGTTGAGCACCGCTCATCGTTTAGCCACAAGTTTAATGCCTAGCTACATCCGTGCCCCCCCGCCAGTCCAGGCCCAGGGCCAGTCCGAGACCCAGACCTAGACCCAGTCCCCCGCTCGTCATAGCCGGGCTCTAATCAGCTTTTTATGTCGAAAATCTGATTCTGTCCACCCACAAAACACACACAGACACACGGACTCGACACACACACGTCCTCGTCCTGATGCTCGAAGGTGAAATTTGCGTGCGGCTTCGATTGTTTACCCCCAGCAGTCGCCACCTTGCCACCATGCCACCACGAGTATCATCATCTCGGGGGCACTCGGGTGCGGTGTTCGACGGTCAGCCACTTCCTTCCTTCCTTCCTTCCTTCCTTCCGCGGGGATCATCAAAACAAGCACAAGTCGAGGCACTTTACGGGTATCTATGCATTGTGTTTGCTTACCGCCATGGACTGGGGATACTGTGGTTTCTGTTGCTGCCTCCTCCCCGGTGCCTATGGCAACAGCTCGCCATCACCGCCGCCATAGCCTACGGGCAGGTTGGGAGCGTGTCGTGAATATTTATTCGTATTTGATTAGAGTCTCGCTTTCAGTTTATATTGAGTTTATTGGTCGACAGACAGGACAGAGACTGTATGTGGCATGTACTCGTATGAGACACTCATCTAAAGGGGGCTAGGACATCTGCAAGGACTCACTGAACTAGTCATTTGACTGGAGTCGGAAATCAAGAGGCACGGCAGTCACTACGTTGCTGTGATGCTAATGGAGTGCACCCGTTCTGTACCAGCTCCAGCTTTCGATGAGGCCGTCGCGATGGCAACGCACTAATGAGATCTCCCTGAAATACATGGAATATGTGGAATATATATATATGGAATATGTTGGATCAGCCTACCCCTAGCCCGGGAACCTGTCAGAAGTGGGCGGCAGCTGTGCCGCGTGGGACGGTAGCTCTGCGTGGGCGAATAGCCGGAATAGCCGCATGAATAATGTCACCTGACAATCGACCCGATAAGCTGTCAATTTCTCCAACTATTCTACTATGCTGTATCTGTTTCCCTATATGGGGCTTCGTAGGCGTTGTAAGCTAACCAGCTTTGTGTGTGGCAGAAAGGCAGTCCCCAGACACTCAGAGGTGTCCGGTCCTTAAGTGCGGCCATATGCTGCCCATGCACACAGGTCGACCACTGCTTCCCTTGGATCCCTTCCGTCAACCCTCGGCCCATACTCTTGTCTAGGATGCGCCCCAATCCCAACCCCCAATCCCCAATCACAAGTAACGGGGCCTTCCGCAGCTAAACTACTCCTGGAACATCAAATCCACAAGCTGTGAAAGTTTTTGTCTACGCTGCACAAGAAGCAATGAATAAAGGACGATGAGGAGCCATCATCATTGGAGCCCCGCTATATCCTTCGCGCTGGAACTTCAGCCTCCACGGAGGGGACAGAGACGAGTATTGGCTCATGTCAAACTTGCCGCCACATAAATGGAAAAGAGGCGAGTGTATAAAATAAATTAAATAAATCCTAAACGAGACGCGGTCCGTGTTTCGGCCTCACACACCATACGAGTATACGAGTAATACGAGGAGTTCCCCGCGGTAACGATGCCATGTGTCTTCGGGCAGGAGCACTGCCCATGGCCTGAAGCTGCATCCCACGCCACCACTGGGTCTGAGCTCTGGACTGGGCTGAGTGCTGGGTATTTCGTGGTGCGGCACTGCTTGATTATGCGGATGGGCCGCATGTGCGGATGTTTGTAGTTCCTCGTGTCCGCCTGCTCTTTGGAATTTGGAATTCTGTGGGATTCGCCATAAATTAAATTACCTAAAGCGCAAAGCAGATTCTCTCCGCTGGAGCTGGCTGACAACAGCTCGTTTAAGACCATACATCTTCCAGATATAAGCTATCCAGTTCCACTTCCAGCCACGGCACGGACGGGGCTGACGGCTGGAGGCTGCTTAACGACCAGAGTCTTGGGGACAGTCTTTTCTGCATGCGCCAACAGTTTCGCAGTTTCAGAGTTTCTCAGTTTCTCAGTTTCTCATTTTCTCAGGCTGTCAGTGCACATTTGTCGCTCGTCGCTGCCAAAGTAAAAGTTATATGAATGAATAAAACAAATTGCAGCTTCCCTTCCCTTCCCTTCCCTTTCCTTCCCTTCCGTTCGACTCTCCGCTACGCATCATCTGCCTTCCAGGGCCATTTCTCTTCTCCTGCCCTGTCTCCGAATGCTGCTGCTACCCGAATATCCACATCTTTGCGGCTAAACGTACGAGTAAGTACTGGCAAAGGCGCGGTTATTCAACAATTCGACCATTAGACTACTCCTCATAACACCACAGACAGTATACTATACTATATGCGCGTCTATCTGTAGTGCATGTACAGTGTATCTCCCATTACGCCTAATAGGGATTAAGCTAACAAAAGCTCCCACTAATTGACTACATGAGCCCCATACTCACATTAACAGTGCCAGTGTTCTCACGGATGGACGGACGGGCTACCTTTCTCCGACAATGGGACAGGTTTCCCAGTCACAACCCAGTCCGGAGAGTGTACGCGTGGGCGTGAGAGTCAAAGGGTGCCATCGGAAGGGCTCTCCAGAGTATTTCCACTTTAAAATAATCATCTCTGACAGACTCTGCACCGACCCCGACCATTGGTGTGGTTGCTGCTGTGGGGAGCTCTAATTGTCGACACCGTTGCCATTCGACCACTCGAGCAGGCGACGAAGCGAGGTGCCTACTTTCAAGCAAAGAGAGACAAAGAGGCAAAGTCCTCTGGTGACTGGTGACTGGTGGCTGGAGGCTGGAGGCTGGGGGCCTCGGTGGGTGGCAGGAGATTGACAAGCTGTAGAACAAACTGGACTGGACCCCAATTGGAAGCCGACTTGCAAACCCTTGTGCGGGACCTAAGCGGCTTGTCCTTTTGATTTTTCTCAGTGCCGGCACTTGGACTCACTTAATATATAAATTCGACCCTATAAATTGTACAGTTAGCGGAAAGAGTGGACACCGGAACAAAAGTAAAAGAAGACTCATTTTGGGCAGGAAACTTACCATCCGTCGGCACCCAGATACTCGTATTGGCATTGGGTATCGAGTACGAATTAATGGTGATAGTGTTCAGCCTTGCCGAGGCATGGTATTTTTTGTTGCAAATCGTGCGTCAGTTCCGTGGTTTGTGGGTGCGTGCTACAAGGGGATGTGCCGTGCCCAGCTGACAGGAGTTTCAAACTTCTTCGCGATTGATTGTGAGTAACAACGCAACAAGTATACTCAATTCAAACTCATTATGATGCAAACATGTATGTTTTCGCTCTAATTTTCGATGATGAATTGTCACCTGTCTCTGCTTTCTCTGCGCCTCTTTCGGCATCAACGCCTAAAGAAATCTTGAGTCCCATCGGTGCCCAGTCAGTGCATAATTATCGGCGGATAAGAAGAATCCATCAGCAGCTACAATCCCCGCGATTCAGCCAAATGGAAAATATATTGAGTTTGAGTTTGAATTTGAATTTGAGTTTGTTTATTTTGCGGCAACCTTAAGAAGTATTGAAACACCAATAGACAGATTTCAGATATGAACTAATTTTTACAATCATATACGATACGTTCTAATCGAAAAAAAAAAACAAAGGGTTCGCTATAACAAAAAAATACGAGTCATGTACATATTTACATTAGTCCTCGTTGGATCTGTGGAGCCTACAGCCTAGAGCCGTGGACTGTCAGCCGCCGTGGCGCTGCTGGTGTGCACCACCGAATTTAGTGGGTCGTGGCGAGAACGGGTCCGCCAAGTGCCCATGCCCATGGCTTGGCCAGGATTGGCATTGACGGCATTGGGGTTGTTGTTCGCCACTTGGCTGGCGGATAGGGCAATGGCGCCCGCCGCCCCAGTCCCAGCCCGCCGCCAGGGCATGCCCTTGAAGGTGTCGACGAATGCGCGCCGGAAGCTGGCGTTCATGAAGCAGTAAGTGATCGGATTGCAGCAGCTGGAGGAGTAGGCCAGCAGCTGTAGGTAGCTTATGGAGGTGTAGTCGATATACTCATACAGCGCCTGTCCGATGAACATGCTCAGCGTGTTGATCACGTACAGTGGCGTCCAGCAGATGAAGAACTCCAGCACCAGGACGAACAGCATCTTCACGACTCGCTTCTTGCTCTCCAGAGTCTTTGCTTCGTTTGATCTAGACAGTGAAGGACAGTAAAATACAGTTCCCAGCCTAGAGTCAGTCTCCTGAAACCCACAAATCACCCACTCTCGCTCTGACTCGGACTTACCTGCGAAGAGCAGCGTCTTGGACCCGCATGCTGGGCGAGGACATCTTGGCCAGCGTCACCGTCGTTGTGGTTGTGCTTGTCGTTTTGATCATCGCTGACGTTGTCGCTGATGCTCTCGTAGTCAGTGTCGCAGTCGTTGTCGTTGTCGTTGTCGTTCTCGTTGTTGCTGGTGCTGGTGCTGGGGCAGGCGCAGGTGCAGGAGCTGCGACTGCGGCGCCATTGTTGTTGTTGCTGCTCTCTGCTCTCGGGGACCAGAGGTGAGTGGGGCAATACTTGATACAACGACAGGCCGGGACTCACCGTTGTAGACTGTGCTGGCGGTCAGCACCAGGATGCAGCTGTTGCTGCTATTGCTGCTGGGCCCAGCTGCTGCAGCTCCCCCGGCAGGCACTACCCCGGTGGATGGGGCTGGGGTTGGGCCTGCTGCCGTGGCCGTCTGCTGCATGGCCATTATCCTGCTGCTGTCCTTGGCCATGCCCACGTAGAGGGTGCGGGTGATGAGGATGTAGGCCACACAGAGCACCAGCAGGGGCAGGACGAGCAGCATGAAGTCCAGCAGAATGTTGTAGAACTGCTCGTAGCCCTGATCAGGCCATGTCTCCCGGCACTTGCAGTATCCTGTGTGGGTCAGGATGTGAGTGAGGATGGGGTCAGTTTGCTTCACAGGAAGGAAGGAGCCTTGATCGGAGTCTGAGGCAGAAGAGGAAGCGAAACTCACCTGGCCGACTGGTTGGTATCAATTGACTGAAGACGGCTATCGGCGTCATGCACAGGATTCCCCCGAGCCAAATGAATCCGATTATCTTGTAGGCATGGCTGATGGTCTGCCAGGATCGCGAGCGCAGCGGATGGCAGATGGCGTAGTAGCGCTCGCAGGAGATCGCCACAAGGGTCCACGAGGACACGGCCACGGAGGCAGCTGCAGGGGAAGCAGAGAAAACTTTGGATTAGGCCATTACCATGAAGTCCGAAGTCACGCCTCAAATGTCGGAGATTGCCTCAGGAGACGCCTGCTTTCACTCCCGCTCTCCTTGCATTTTAATTACACTATTTGCATATTAAAACCTGTCTACTTCTGTGTGCTTTGCTGTCCCTGTCTCTGTCGCTGTCCCTGTCCATGTCCCTGTTGCTGGTGCTGGTGCTTTTTCCCCGTGGGGCTGTGCTACACGATGCAATTTGTGTGAGTTGCCATTAAGCGTTACCCACACCTCCGCCCCGTTACCACCACGTTCCGCATGTTTACGGGCGCTTCGCGGGGGAGCATCAGGTCGCGCTAAAACAGAATTTTTATGTTGCACGGACACAAACACATGTAAATACGAGTACGTGTGCTCAAACTATTAAAACACAAAGTGCCGCCCCTGCCCCAGGACGGAATTGGCCCGCCGCCGCCACCCAGTTTAACTCTTTCAAATTGAAGTTAGACCTTAGACCTTAGATTGACAGGTGCTTGGGCTCTTGTGCTCTTGGGCTTAAAACAAGCAACGGCCACCACTCCTCCCTCTCCTGACCTCTCGCCTACTCACGGCACACGCCACAGCACCATGCCGCACACACGAACGCGTACGTGTTTGATTTTTGTTACTTGGCTTTAAAGCTTGCACGGGGGCTAAGCAATTTGATTGATTCGCCGGCTGGCAGCCGCGAAACGTCTTGACAACTAAATCATTTCAAAATACAAATGCCTCAACAGCACAACCTCAATGTGTACGTTACATATGTGCATGTACGGCTACACTGAGAGAACAACCATACCCCGAGTGGCATTTGAACAAATTTCGTTTACGTTTGGACATATGTAAGTCTGGGCTGTGTTAGGCCAGTCGCGATTCCTAGACAAGCAAAAACGAGCGCAGGGGCAATTAGCTCCCAGGCGAATTCCCAACCAGCTCAGGAGAGCGCAAAGCACGAACGAGCGAGGGCGAATTACTGGGAGCACGAAACAGATCGGCGGGCGAGGCGCCGAGAGTGTTTCAATTCAGCCACCGAAGGTTGCGTTTCTGGCACCATACCATTATATTTCTGCACTTAATCGCTTATTAGTTAGTTAGTTCAATATGTTGGAGAGACTTTGAGGGAAAACTTTTATCCCAAATCAACTTTCTCATATGAGAAAATAGTAAACGAAAATATGACTATAAAAATACAACAAAACCCGTGAAAAGCTAACATTGCCTATTGCCTGTTCGAATATGTTTTCCGATCAATGTTAATGAAATTATATGCCAATTGGTTAAATTAGTTGAGTGGGAACAAAACGATATGGAAATCGGTTTTTATTGGCTTTCAATGTTTTTTGACATGGTGGACCTTTGGCGGAACTGCCCCTATGTGAAATACTATATCCATTTGAGTTACACATTTTTTTTTATTTGCTGAATTCTATTTAATTGCGCTACCTTTATATTTCAAAACCGAATATTTAATTGAAATATTTGTCCATTTTTTATTATCGCATTTTTCTCTGAGTGTATGTATGCATGTGTGGAGCGGTAGGCGGTGGTCGTGTGCGTGCGTAATTCAATTGGCAAATGCAAAACTGACAGCACAAATAAGGCGACGGCAGCGGGCAAGAGACGAACACAAATTCAATTTGGTGGCCCGTGCCCCGTGCCCCCCGTGGGCCATGTGCCACACAATCCAGCGCCCCTCTGATTCAGTGTTTTTCTCTTTTCGGCAACTGATTGAATTTGATTTGTGCGGAAAACGGGCACCACGCCTTCAAGGCATACCATCCCGGCCAGGGACACGGGCAGCGACAGAGACAGGGACAGAGACAGGGACAGGGGCAGGGCAAGCTTACGGAACGTGTTAAGCATATTACGTATACGTATACCGTATACGACACGCAGTCCTCGACTGCCAGCATAAATATGCGGACAGACTCTGACAGACCGACAGACAGACAGACAGACAGACAGACAGAATTTATAAGCGTCAGTTGGGCGATAAAATTTGATTGCCGCAAATAAAAAAGGGGAATGGCACGGACGGCCACTCACAGAAAGACCGCAAAAATGTGTTCTGGTCAGGCGAATGCCGAACGAATCAGAAAGGGGAGCGGAAGTCCGGAAAAAGCACCAGTGTAGAGGAGAGTAAAGGATGAGCCGGAGAGACACACAGACATACATGTGTGTGTTTCATTCAAAGCCAGACTTCAAATGTTTTCTGCATAAATACGTCGCGTATGTCGCCTGTCGCCTGTCGCCTATCGCCTGCCGCCAGTTTGGTTGTAGATCTGCCACAGATGCAGAGTGCCGCCAACGCCTGCTCTTCTATGGGAGCCAGCCCGAAAAACGCAAAAGGCTGACAGTGCTTTGAGAAATTATAAGTTTTCATTTCTGGTCAAGCTTTGCGCTCCTGAGCACTGACTCCTGAGGTGCTGCCAAGTTTACAAATTAGTTCTGGCCAAAGCCACACCCAGTCCGTCCCAGCGCCAGGGCTGTGCTAGGGCCAGTGCCAGTGCCAGTGCTAGTGCCAGTGCTAGTGCCAGTTTCAATGATTGACAACTGGATGCGGCCGCTGATGGTGGAGTGACAGGCACAAAGTTGCCACCGAGCTGCTTCCTGTACGTGCCGCCTCCGCTGAGGAATGACACTTTACAGATTATACTGCGCCCAGGCAGGGTGGGGGAGGAGGGTGGAGATTCAGTCTTAAGGGATTGCCACCCCAAGCACTTGCTCTTAATTGGTTTATTCAAAAGCCACACTATCTATCGAGGAAGAATGTGGAATTTCCCATCGTAAATTGTGAACATTTTTCATGGATTTGGTATCCCCAGGCTCATCCCCTGGAGCAGGATGTTGTTTTGTTCATTCCTTATATTTTAATTCAATAACTGAAGGGAAACTTTACCAGAAAAACACTGAAGTAAGTGTGTGGTGTGATTGTGGGGGGCAAACTCATTTAAATTCAATGATTCAGCTCGCAAATGCAAGCATTTTAAGCATCCACACAGATGGAAGGCTGACAGGGGGATGACTGTGTATCTGAATGGGCGGAAAGGGGAAGAAGAAAAGGAAGGGGAAAGGGAAAGGGAAGGGGCCTTGCCAATGGCAAAGTTTCGAGCAAAACGAAATCAGAGTTGCCCCAAAATTCTATTTAAGTTGAAAGCGAAAAACGAAACAAAGTTGGCCAAATACTCGGCGTGGCGTTCGCTTTTTATCAAATTAAGTACTCTAAAGTGGCTAGGTGGGCGTGGCAGGAGTAGGAGTATAGCAGAGCACAGCCAACGTGTGTGTGTGTGGGGCCTGAAAGTTTGGCTAAGCCAACCGACGAGCTCCAGCTCTGATCTGGGAGCTGGGTCCTGGGATGACTGCACCAGACACATGGGGGAACATGTCTGGAGCAGGCTCAAGCTGGCGGCATCTCCCCCAGTGATATTCGTATTAATATTGCTTTTAAGTGTTTCCTCTGGCATCTGCTGTGGCCCTGCGGCCCCATTCCGAAGGAAATGAAAGTTCTCGGAGCCCAGGCCCAGGACGAATGTGCATTAATTAAAAAACTTCATCGTAAACAAATCCCAAAGCAACCCGACAAAAACGGGAAGTGGAGTGGAGATAAAGTTGAGGCAGCAAGTCAGAGTCAGAGTCAGAGTCGGGGTCTTGGCCTGGACAATGCGAATGGGATTCGATGCCAGGCCAAAACTTCTCTGAGAATCCCACCTTATGCTTTCAACTGTTGCAGCTCTTTTGCCGAAAAAGTCGGAACAGAACAGGGGGGGGCAGTAACAAACAACATACAGCAATCACTTTCAGGGAATCAGGGTAAGTGCTGCGTGAGAGAGTTGGATCAACGGCCGTTGTTCAAAAACTCATTAGCCAAATTGTGCGGCGAGGCCTTCCAAGGCGACCTTCCTTGTTTATGCAGTTTCGCCGCAGCCCAAACAGCAATTGGTAAAAGCAAACAGCCAGGCCAGGACTAAGGCCAATGCCACAAAAGCTACTGTGTCCAAAAGCCAAAAGGCAAAAGCGGGGACGTTCCACCTGTGACCGTGGGATTGCCATATGTTTACCCACGGAAAACTGCTCAGGGGGGCCAGGACTACTCTCTGGATATAAATGTTGGTGCGTGTAAGCCCTGCTAACGACACTTTATGCATTCTACGTACACACCCACACACATTACGAGAGAGCAGGTAAAAAACTGTTGCACAGATGTCCAGGTCCTGCCTGCCTGCCTGCCTGCCTCCCTACCCAAAATGAAATGAAATTCGTATCCCCCCGGAGAAAGCCCAACCGAAAGAAGCAAATTTATAATGATTTATGTGCTGACTTCCGAAACGACAGGGGATTCCTTTCGGTGCACCTCCTCCTGCACCTGTATTTCCCTTTCCCTTTCAACTTAAACTGAAATTAAATTTAAGCTGAAATGTCTCTGGCGATTGCTGCCACACCTCTTTCCCCTTTGGCAGGGAGCACACATGAGAAGAGTCGGATTTGATTGCCAATGACAACTCGGACCCCCCCTATCCACCATCCACCGAGGAAGAGCACTCGAGAGGGCTGATGTCGGAAGTATCGTTATTTATCGTTGCCTCCCTCCTGTTTGAAGCCTTTGACTTTCAAATACCCGCTTTAAATGAGAGACCCAAGCCCATTTGCCAGACCAATGACAGTTTGCTTTATAGTTGCCACTCCGTCTCATTGCTTTTGCCAACTGTGTTCCAGAGTGCCACTGTGCCCCTGTGCCTCACACCCGTACTCCCAGCTCGATGGAGTGCCATTAGGAGAATGGACTTTGCTTTTGTGTAGCATGTATTTGCGCGCCTCTCTCTCCGTCTCGGCCTGTGCATGTTGCATGTTCCATGTCGCGTCTGTGTCCTATCCCTGCCCCTGCCCCTGCCCTGCACTGCTGTAATGCTGTAAGCCTCCTCCTGGTGGTGCCAGGTGCGTGCCGCTTGTTCTCTTCTTGTTCGCTGTCATGTTTTTGTATCATTTATCCCACCTCCACCTCCACCTCCAGTTCCAGGTCTAGGTCCATGTCTGGCTGCATCCGCATCCGCAGCCGCAGCTCCAACCTTCAACCTTCACCCCCAGCTCTGGCTGTCATTAAAATTGTTATTTAATTCGCAGCTTGCGCACGAAAGTATGCAGTGTATTTTTGCTAGCAGCCAGCAGCCAGCTTTAAGCTGCGCCTCGAATTATGCTACGCCCAGCCACGTCACGACACGCATTCCGCTTTCTCTTGTCTGTCGTTTTTTGTACACCGTCTATCTGTGTACATCTGTACCCTTAACTGTACCAAAAGCAAGAGGAACATGACACGTTGAGCGGGCGACAGAGACAGGAAACGGTCAGGGACCCGCCGCTGCTTTGTCTTCCCAAATCCAAATTCCAAATCCCATGGCTCGTGATTAAATCTGGCTGCGTCTTACGCATCACAATTCCTGGTTTGCAACCGCCATTAGGTTGGACACAGAGTGATTTTTTGGCTGTCCAAGTGTTGTCCTGGCAGGCAGGCAGGCAGGCCGCTAATGCGCTCAGATCATAAACAGATCCAGTGTCCAGTCTCCTCTACTCTCCTAGTGCCACCTAATTGTCTATTCCCTCCAAATTACATCTCGTCCATGCCGCCACGACGCCATGCCCCCATGCAACACACACAATCCAAGGGCCGTCATGTTGCAAATGTCTTTTTAATAGCTTCAAACGGACTATGGGCTGCTTTTGTCCTGGCAACAGGACCTGGCCCAGCCGCTGACAAGTGTTTGATTTGAAGTTATGTAATGGCCTCTGCTGCTGCTGCTGCTGCTGCTGCTCTCGTTTTGGGATACAGAGGCAGAGCCAGTGGAAAAGTCTCTGCCAATAGCAAATTCCAATGTTATTATTTGAATTTTTCATAGGGCCAAAAGGAAAAAAGATACGAAAGTCGTTGTTGCCCCTTCCCGTTATTGTTTCTGAATAGAACAAAATGCAGAGCATTTTCTTGGAATGCCCGTAGCCGCTCCAGACCTCAGACATTGTTGCCACAGGCCCACAGGGCGACCAATTTAGCGATATGGGGGTGAAGGAGTGATGGAAGGATTGAAGGGTGGATAGGAGGATAGGAGGATAGGAAGAGAGCCGCCGAATATATTCCCCATTTTATTGTGCCCTCACACGCCCACGGACCACTTGTTGTTTTTGTTGTGCCCTTCGGGGAACTCGGGGCAAAATGAACTGCCTTTCTTCTGGGGCAAACTCAATAAAACGATCCACATGCGACGATAATCATAAAAAATTATTTTAATGCTGCCCCATCATGCGCCACGCCACACAGATACACACACACAGGCACAGGCACAATCATATGGGATTCCATTTTGCTTATGTGTTCGTAATTTCCGCTAATTGAAGAAGGGCAGACAGAACCAGGCCAAAATGGGAACAGCAAATATCTATATCTACATAAAAAGGGATAAGAAGGGGCGCACAGGACTCCAACCCACCGAGCCATTCTCCCATAGATACTCCTCAACACTCACCCTGCGAAAACTGGAACAGCTTGCAGAGGAACTCCCCAAAGATGAAGTTGCGGAGGAGGGTGCCCACCAGCGTGACGGGCATGCAGAGCACGCCCAGAAGCATGTCCGAAATGGCCAGGTTCAGCAGAAAGACATTGGTGATGGTCCGCATCCGGCGGTTCTGCACCAAAGTGGAGATGACCAGCAGATTGCCCAGCACGGCGAACAGCAGAATCACGCTGTAGCTGGGTATCAGCCAGACGGGCATCTCCGTGGTGCTGGTGGCGGCGCTGCTGCTGCCGCCTCCCGAGATGGATCCGGGGCTGGGGCTGGGGCTGGTATTGCCACTGAAGCCAGAGCCAAAGCCTGAGCCAGAGCTGTCCCCAAAGCCGTAGCTCGTGCCTGCTGCCTCGTGCTCCAGGCGTTGGTTTCCAAACACATTTCCTGACCCCAGGCCATCCTCAAAGACGCCGTCGGTGTTGTTGCCGCCGCCGCCGCCGCCGCCGCCGCCGCCGCCGCCACTGACTCCGCCCGCGTACGAGGGGGATCCTGCAGTATCGTTGAACGGGACCAGGGTCAGCGAAACGATGTGACCTGCCGCACTGGGAGCGTTGGCGTAATAGTCGAGCAGCGCCCGGTACGCAGCCGCCGCTGCCATGACCGTTTGGGCAGCATCCTCCGCACTGTACGGGTACATCCCAGATAGAGACGTCCAGACGAGCGAGCGATCACAACCCAATCGAACGACAAAGGATCATTGTCATTTCCGAATGGGATCTCCTTCCGCTGCCGATTCTCACACAAAAAATTAAAACTCGAAGAAAATTCAAAGACGCTTGCGCGCAGGACTGGCACCGAGGAACGTGGCCGAGAACGGGGTAGGTCTGATTCCGTTACCGGTCCTGATACCGACGACCAGGACGAGAACGAGTTCGAGTTCGAGTACGAGTACGAAGACGAGGAGGCGGCCGAAAGCGCTCGTCCTTGCCTGCTTACCGTTAAGCTACCGTTATCGTGGGCAACTGACTAGCGGAGGCGGCCCCGTCGTTCGAATGCTTCGGTGTGGCAGCAGCAACATGTTGCGTGGACGTCGCGTGGCAGCATGAAAACTCACCACAGCAACTTGTGGCAGCAACATGCGGCAGCTTCCAACTGCAACATCAAGCACAGCGCCCATTGGGCACTGCAGATGACTCCGAATTATGCATATACAGGCTGGATCTGGGACTCTTCAGATTCCACTTCGTCCTCCTCTTGTACATTATGCCGATCACTGCGTGGAGAATTTAGAAAGTGTTGCAATAAACTCTCGAAGTGCTGCAGCCACAGAAAAAGGCCACTAATGAACACACGCGTAATCCTGCCAATGCCACCAATGTGCCAATGCTGCTAGTGCTGCCAATGATGCCACTGCTGCCAATGCTGCAAAATTAGGCTTTTTATATCGAACGCCATGGCTCTCAATGATTATGTGTAAAGAAGATAGACGGAATGTAGGAATATTTTGTACAACAGTAAAGATAAAGGATAAAGAGTGTCGCGTACTATTGACAGGACTGACTGAAACTAAAAACCAATACAAGGAATCACCACAGTGATGCATTTTTCCAATGTTCAACTATGAGTTCTTTTGTTACCAAAAATAATTATTATAATTCATAAAAATAATTACTATAGCCAAAGAATATTCACAAATTTAAAACTGGATATAATATAAAACTGGATAAATGGACGGAATATTGATATATTTAATTCTCTATTTATATGATTTTCCAGATTCCTATTCCAGAAATAAAACAAAATACAAGCTTCGAATCAATTCGATATGACCCTCTCTACAAGGCCTTGTAGGGTATAAAAATGATGCCAAATGCGGGGAAGTCGTTACACTGGCCTCATCCTCCTTCTCCTTCTCCTCCTCCTCCACCGCTCGATCAATCTCACTCTCACTCACTCTCTCTCTCTTTTTGCCGATGCCGCGTGCCGCTCTGCCTGTGGTAATCTTTATCAGCTGCGGCTGTGCCATCTCGCTCACACAATTGGCGGCTGCGCCGACTTTAGTCTGCCAGTACGCCGGCGTCGGCGATCCCCTCTTCGTTGGAGTGGCGAACGCCGGCACAGCCGCATTCGGTTTTTTCGTGCTGGACGGTTCGGATGCCTTAGCTGGCTCTGTTTTTTTTATCGTTAAATATTTTTGTTTTCGTTTGTCACTTCTGTACTGTGCATTACATTATTTTGTTAGCCAACACAAAACTAGCAGGACTGGGACAGACACTGAGACGCTGAGACACTGACACTCTGACACAGCACTGCACTGCTCTTCCCCAACGAACCAGAAGAAGAACCGCGCTTGCCTGACCCTCCCCCCTCCTGGTGCCAAAAAGAGCGACGTCGAGCGGCAGAGATTCGTTGAACTCGGTCCTCAAACACAGGCATCCCAGCATCCATCCCAGTGGACCGGACCGGACTTCGACGTGCATTTTCTTTGCAGCAAGCGCAGCAGCAGCAGCAGCCGCAGCAGCAACAGCAGTCGGAGCATCCCAGTACCAGGAATAAAGGAACACACATCAAATCACCACCATGTCGGACGGCATCGAGGTTGAGCAGATCGTGGAGAGCAAGCCGAGAAGGGTGAGTACTCGTAGTCCTCCAGGGCGCTATATTTTATATATTTACATATGTACATACATCCACACATACATATGTAAGTACATGTGCATGTGGATGCATACAGTATACAGAAAGTAATAAGTGCGGCGGCAACAGACAACCAACCGAAAATTAAGAATTATAAAAGATTCGATGGGGAAACAAAAGAGCAAAAGAAACGGGGCAACAGAGACAGAAAGAAGCAAGAGACAAGAGATGGAGATGGAGAGCGAATGAGGCTGAGAATGGGAGACACCGATTGAGAAGAGGGACCAGCCAAAGGCTGGAGTTGGGCCCAGACCGATTGAGTATCTGTGTGTGTGTGTGTGTGTGTGTGTGTGTGTGTGTATCTGTGGCGGGGCATGTTGGGTTTTAAAATAACTCTGACTTTGGCGGTGTGTCCACAAGAACCGGCCCGGGGCCCCATATCCCAGACCCCAGACCCCAGACCCGACCAGACAGCACGAAGGAGAGACACAAAAAGCGAAAAGGTACATGCATCCACATGTATATTCCGCAGCCACAGTCAGTGCCTCCTTATGCGGGGGCGGATGCAGCAGCCGCCGTTGGGGCGTCGTGTTGTTGCCGTGCCGTGCCGTGCCGCAGACGCACACCCAAGTATCAAGTTCAAGTGCGAGTTGTCGGCTGTCGTATCTGCTGCTGCACTTGTTACAGTTACATTTGTACGCTTACGCTACCGATGCCCGACGCCCGATGCATTCTATATCAGAATCTTGTTGATGTGGTTTATGCGGCGGCGGCTGCTAGCCACAATGGCAGTGTTGAACACGTCTCTTCTGGAGATAACGGTGCTTTTCAGCTGTCAAAATAACAGTAGCTGGCAGGCTTTTTGTGAGTGTTTTGTGCTAGCTGCACGTTTGTGTGCGTGCGTGTGTGTATGTGTTGAGGGAGAGAGAAAAGTCATCCCCAGTAGGTGGCAGGAGGCCCCTATCTATTGTGCCCTTCTACAGATCGGATAGTATCGGAACGGATCGCTCATCATGCACTTCAATTGCGTAATTCCTCCACTCTCCAACTCTCCAATTCACTCCGTGCACCTAATCTTTGCCGGAGACGACCATTTACGGTTATAGCTCAGTCAATAAGTCCCAACAAAGCGCAACAATTGGGGGAATTGAAACAAATGCGTCAAAGCACCAGTGTCGCTCGCCCGCCCGCCGTGGTGGGGGTGAGCTGTCAGTAGCAATGCCAATAAATAACACAGCACACTCCCATATACATACACACATTATATGAGTATGAATATATGTATGTACATACATATGCATGTATGAATGTACATATGCACAATGTCGTTAGCTTTTCAACTGCATCACTGCCAACTTTGGGGTTGCCGTTGGCGGCAACGGCAGCGTCGGCGTCGTCGTCGGCGTCGGCTTGTGCTATCAATGTCAAGTGGTGGATTTAGCCGTAAAACGAATAAATAATAAATAAAAACAGCAAAAGAAAGAGCAGCACAGAGAGAGGACATCCGAACATTCAAGATCAGACATGCACGATCGTGTCTCTTAGGATTGACTCCCTCGCCCGCCTTCGGAGGAGTGCAGCGCGCTTCCTGGCATGCCAATTCTGGTCATACACTCCTCCTCTCGCCATTCGAGTCGTCGTCACCTTCGTGCGCAAGTGTGACTCACGCAACGGCAGCAGCAGCAGCAGCAGCAGCAACAGCAACAGCCGCCAGACGCAGAATGAGCAAGAGAAACAGATTGCTCCTTTGTTTCACTTGATGCACTGCGTACATACATACATATATATGTATGTATGTGTGTATATGTGTGTATGTATAAAATAACCCAAAAAACGAAGAAATATTAAGGCGCAAAGAAAACAACATCAACAACATCGAATCAGAAACAGAAACAGCAGCGACTTTAAAAAAAGAACAGCAGCCGCCGCGGCAGCGACAACAGCAACGGGCGACGGGCGGCAGTGTATCCCCAGGCCCGGCCAGAGGCAATGAACGCATGGCCGCCACGCCGACTGCGCAGTCAAAGCCTCTGCAGCTGCGCAAGTACGTCATGGCAAATGCATCGCTGCGCCGCTGCCGCTGTGTCCGAAGCAGTTCGGAAGGCAATTTGTCACCGAATTGTTTTTTTTGGTTTGCTTTTGCCCGCGATCGAAAACCGATTCGAGGCCCAATCGGTTGGCGGTGACCGGTCGCAACAGTTTTCTAACTGCCGGAGAAGGAGGGTGCTTCTTCGTTCCACAAAACATTTCCTGTCGCTGTCTCTGACTCACGGAATCTTCAACGGAATTCCGCGATGGAATGATGTGTGGTTCCATGAGGGAAATATTGAGTATCGCTTTTACGAGTGTGTGCTTCTTCTCACTTGGTTTCATTTCATTTTATTCGATGCCTTCACTTATCTGGAATTCGTTAGTCAACGTTCAACAATTTCAGTCCGCAAATCCAAGGCCCAATCGAGTGCCAATCCCCATGCTCCCTTGCTACCTCCTCCCTCCAGCAAGTACCCCCAATCGAGGATGCCTGGAGGATACTCCAATCCAAAGAGAGATTAGTGCTCCGAGGCAGTGGTGGGGGGAGCGGGGGGCTATTCTAGTATTCAATTGGTTTTTATGGGGCGGAAACGTTTTGCTTTGCTCCGTTGCAAGGCTCTGAACGGTATATTGATACCCTGTACAAGGGTATCCAGCGCTGATATTTGCGGCTTTCCGCCTCTGTCCCAGTCCCAGTCTCAGTTTCGGTTGCAGTTTCATGGATTTGCAACATGCTTGGCTAGCTGCAATTACTGCTGCTACTCGTATATACTTTTGGCCTTACTCAATAATACACATTGGTGATATTGATAGATATACATACAATATAGTAGATGCAGTACGTGTTGGCTGTATGAATGCACATACTTATGAGTACATACACAAGTACATATAAGGCTCGTCGTTACGTATCTATCAGATATGGTTGCATGTGCAGCAGATGGCAAAACGCAACAAAACAAAACAGAAACAGAATGGAAATGGGAATGGGAATAGGAATGGGAATGGCAGTAAGCAGGAAGCACCAGCCACAGGCTGCCTGCCATTCGACCATCAAATTCTGCATTGATACTCGCTTCCGCACTCGGTCAGCGGGGTCCTGTCCATCGCCAGATACTTGCTGTAGAAACAGGGACATAACATATGTACTAGGATTCGGTGAAGTCACTCTTTGCTGCTGCTTCTGTTGCTGTGATAAGCACAAATCAATTATGAAAGTGCTACTGTTTATCGCTGAACATGAACAAATGCATGACACTCTCTCTCTCTCTCTCTCTCTCTCTCTCTCTGGCAGGGCAGGCTCTCCGCCGTAGGCTTCCCTACACTTCCCCACCCTATCCCGTGTAGGAGTGCCCCGTCCATCCCTTTCCCCAGCTATCGTGTGGGGCTCTGTGACTAAGCGCCAGCCCCAAAGTAGTACAGATTTTTATGGCGTGTGAAATTAAAACAGAAAAGAACAGAACAGCCGATCCGAGATTGGCAGAACAACAATCGTATCCACTGGAGCGGCCAGGCAGCGGCTGACTCCTCCAAGAAATTCCAGCTGTAAGTCAATTCGAATTTTCAAAGTGTGTCGCTCTGCGGGTTTTTCTTATCTGTGCAGACGTCAATTCCACTCCCTCGTCCGATAAGTGCGATAAGGCCTCTCATATCTGAGTGATCAGCCATGCGGCCACGCCCTGTTGAGCGGCGCAGTCGCAGTCGCAGTCACTGCCACAGCCACAGCCACAACCACAACCACAGCCGCATCGGATCTAATTTGTTTTGTTGTCACAGTGTTATCAGAGATACGAGATACGGTTAGGGGCCCTGCCGCTATCGGGCTTATCAGCTGAGAGGATATGTCTAATTTTAGCCATTAACGTTCATATCGCTCTGGTGGCACCCTCCAAGCTTTCCTTTCGGGAATTGCAGAATGTCCCATGGCAGATGCTGCAACTAGTGTCTGCCTGTCTCTCTTTCCCTCTTTCTCTATTCTTTACTTTGGGCCATTCTCTGTTTTTGGCACACAGCTCGCATTCGCATTCGCATTCACATTTCGCATCTTTTGACTAATTAATTCCCCTCTCAGCAGAGAACGGGAGCGGCGTCCGGGCTTTGGGGCCTCGCGAAGTTCTCATCGCGTTGTCGTTGTCGTTGTTGTCGTTGTTGTCGTTGTTGTCGTTGTTGTCGCTTCGTTGTCGTTTCGTTGTGAAAGTCGTCGCCTAAATCATTTTAGTCTTTAATTGTTTGGGGTTTTTTCTTCTATATTTTCGGCAGAGACGTTGCTGTTGCTGTTGCCGTTGCCGTTGCTTCTGCTTTCTGTATGGCCGAATGGACGGGGCGCACTCTCCTTCTAAATCGCTTTGCGCTTTTCTAATTGATTTTTCTCACAAGATGCCACACACACAAGTCCGGTCCGGTCCGGTCATTGAACGCATTATGGAGCGGGTCTCCCATCTGTGGCTCTATTTCTGTGTCTATTTTTACTTGTAGTATGAATGCCCCTGTTCCTGCCTCCAGACCTGGCCTGAGTCTCTCTCTTGTGGCCACAGTTATGGGGCACATCTCTTTGTTTGTTTTCACTTTGTCTACCCACAGCCCCGGCCCGCCCCGCCCCACCTCGCAATCAGCCGCAGACATTCAAAAAAGTTAGTTGACAAATCTTTGACCCGCTTTCTGATTGAAAATTAAAAACTGTCACGCGCAGATTGCTTCCGATCGATCGATCGATCGATTGAGAGCCTACAGCCAACACACAGTCACAGATACAGATACATATACAGCTGATCATAGAATCTCATACATGCAATAGATACAATAGTTCATTTAGGCATGTACTTTGCGGTGCACTAATCCGGGAAAGAGTTAAGCAAGTGGCGTGCTTCAGTTTCAGTTTCTGGCACGGAACCCAATCAAAACGAATCGAAAGCGAAAGTACTCCGATGTCCGTCATGAGTACTCGTACGTACTTGCCACTGGCTGAGTGCGAAGGCGGCAGGCGGGCATATAAATTATTCAGATACACATACAAGCACTCTTTATTGCTGGCACCCAGTGGCACGATAGTGGACTTGGAATGCATGAAGCAAAGCCAAGCCAAAGCCAAAGCCAAAGCCAGCCAAAGTGAAGCAAAGCGTTGGCGTTGGCTGAGCCACCATCCGATCCAAACCGTTCCAATCCGATCTCTCAACGATCTCTCAATGATTCATGCACTTCAATAATCACTCACATACGCTTACGCCTTTTCCTTATACGTAGATGCCACTGGCAACGTCGCTGGACAAGGACGCCATTCGCGAGGCCTACGAGGACGTACGCTCTGATCTCACAGACACCGAGTGGGCGGTCTTCAAATTCGATGGGCCACAGATCATTGTCCATGGACGGGGCCAATGCTTCGAGGAGTTTCGCCAACAGTTCGGCGACTCGGAGCGCGCCTTCGGGTACATACGCATACAGATGGGCGACGAGATGTCCAAGCGCAAAAAGTTCATATTCCTCACGTGGATTGGCCAGGAGGTGGGCGTCATTCAGCGGGCCAAAATGTCCACGGACAAGGCCATCATCAAGGATGTGCTCAATGTGAGTATACTTTCCATGCTGGAATACGGTACCCAGAGATCCTAATCCGAATCCAAATCCTTTATATTGCAGAACTTTGCTGTGGAACTGCAGGCGGGCGTGGAGCCAGAGCTGGATATTGGCCTCTTTCGCGAGGCCCTGAACCGCGCCGGTGGTGCCAACTATGGAACGGGTATCCGGGACAATTAGGGTGCTCTCCCATACCAATACCCATACCCATACCCATACCCAAACCCATGCCCATGCCCACGCGACGATCTTCACTTAACGTCTATTATTTTTTTTTGGCTTACCAAATTACAAACTCTGCTCCACTCTTTCTACTTAATTATTATGAATTAATTGTATGCAATTTTAAATTTATGTAATATGTAAAGACATTATACAAGAAACAATTAACCCACGATCGATTCTTTACGAGCGTTCCTTGTGCCAAAGGTAGAATCTCTGCCTTTTCACTCGTTCTCCAAGTAAATTTCCCCCTTTGGAGGGCACCCGAACATCCGATTTCCTCTAACGACTCTCCTCCTCGGAGCGTGCCTAAAAAATATACATTCGATGACCGAAAGTACTGGGAAAACGAGTGTCTAGAAACCTTTCAGAAGCCATTTGTCTAGTTAAGTATTTTATTTATTTTAACATGCGCTCTGTGTGAGTGAATTGATGAAAAAAATCATTTGAAATTGGATCCGCTTAGATGTAGGATGCATGTGGAATAGCATGCGGGTTGCATAGAATATGTGTGAAGGATGTCTTTAGTTTACTTTTTACTAATTTACTAATTTCGTCAGTCCGCAGCAGCCGATCAGGTGATCAGGTGATCAGTCGATCAAGCGATCAGTCGATCAGGCGATCAGCGATCGCGGAATAGGACAGAGTGAAGAGCATCTATGTCTACCTCGACGCCAGATGAGTTTGTGGTGACAGTACGTGAGCTGCAAGTGGGTTGAATTGGGTGTTAGAATAGTCTAGTAACACGGGATATACGGGACGACTTACCTGGCTGAGTGTGCCGAGCGATTGGACGAGTGCGGATTAATCAGCACGCAGTGCATTGGCTGGCCATCGAACTCGCGGTGATGGTACGAGTCGACGGCTATTTCGGCGTGCTCTAGACTCTTGAAAATGACCTCAGCTGTGCCAGGACGCACCACGTGGGCATCGTACATGGGCCCGATGTCGTTGAACAGCTCCCGAATGTCCGAAGTAGTCACATTCGAATGGAGATTGCTCACCAGCAGCCGATAGCCCTTCTTGTTGTTGGCCACCCCAAGTGGCGGGGAGCGACGTGCGGACAAGGAGAGAATCATCGATGAAGACACATTGGAGCTGCTATTGGCCAGCCCCTGCCCCTTGTTTTCGTTGGCATAGATGCCATGAGACACGCGACGATCGGGCTCGCTGCCGAACAGACGTGCCCGCAAAGAGTCCGACAGATTGGAAGTGGCAGCCACCTGACGCCGACTTCGCTCAAAGTGCTCCGGGCCCGGACCCGACTCCGTGCGGGCAACAATGTGCGGTGCCGACAGCATGGGGCGCTCGATACGGTTGCGGGCCGCCTCGTAAATGGAAAACGGGTCGCTGGCATGGTTGTTCTGCAGTGGAGCCGCCGTCGACATCTCCACGTCGTCATCTCTATCTCGGTTCATGTTGAAGTTGACAAAGTTATAGCGAGACGACGGCTGCATGTTGTTGTTGGTCCTCAGATGCACGGCGGAATGGATTACCTCTGTGAAAAACGCAGTATCACAGTGAGAGTGAGAGTCGGATGGGGAGCCAAAAGTGACTTACCATCCTCGAGATCCTGCATATTGTCATGGTCCACATAGCCGCGTGGTGCGAACGGTTTGGCCGAGGGATTCAGTCTGGAGTTGAAGGGCCGGTCACCAACCGAAGAAGAGATGGCCGCTAAAGCTTTCTGCTGATTAAAGGCGTCCCACGGTTTTTGTCGATTCGACATGGTAACCATGCGCTGGCCAAAGTGGCCTCGATCTTCATGATCCACGATCTCATCGGTGTATTCCAGAGGCATTGGTCGGCGGATCTCCATCTGTGGACGACGGAGATTCTTTCGCCCCATCTGAAGGCGAGCCATGCGTTCACCCTCAATGGCAGTAATTTCAGGATCCTCCCCAGACTCGCAGTATTCCACAGGGATGGGGCGGAGTAGTTTCTTTCGGTTAATCAGCAGCTGGCGGGCATCAATGCCGGACTCGCGCATATTCTGGTTGAGCACATCGCGTGCGTCTGTTATTTTTGCACGAGTCTTCTGTATAATCTTGTTGCGGGCGTCATAGGTTCGCGAGGCCGGCTGATCCGACGACGACGCCAGTCCTGTCCCTCCGGCCTTGAATGCTGGCCGATTTACCAGTTTTCGCATCTTGTTGTTGTTGGCATTCGGATTGCTGCGTTAAACAGAGTGAGGCAGACAAGGGCCAATGCCATTAAAGCGCCATTTTCTTGCATTTTTTCCAGCTTCGCTTTTTACACTTACAATTTTTTGTCACTTGGACGGCCGCCATGAGCGCTCCTCATTTGTCGCCGCTCGATGATCTCGTCCAGGCTCAGTGAAACGAAGTCCATTGTTCTTATATATATGTATATGTAAGCAACTTGTATCGTATTCCAAAGAAAACTAATATCTATTTAATACTAAGAAAATTGTAAAAGTAAAGTAAATTATTGCAAGCGGGGCGTGTAAGTGCTGGAAAATGAGTAAAAAGAATGTGACCAGACCACATAAACAATTAAAGTTGCACTTATCGCACAAAAGTATCGATATAACTTGTAAAATAAATGACATCGAAGTGTAATCAAGAGTCGCGGGTATTTTAGATCTAACGACCTGATACAGTAGAAAAATAGTGTCAATTTGCTCCGAACTCAGAAATAAATGTGGTTGTAGTTGCCCATTCCAAAAATGTTCACTTCAATGTTACCGCGTTGACACATCGCGTTTCCACAAATATATCATGAACATACAATAATATCGATATATTTTTCTAACATCACATCCCCCACTCGCACAACAACATAGAGTAACAAAATAAAGGAAAACTTAAAACGGCTCTAACTAAGTTGTAGTTTTTTTAGAGTGGGAGTTCTCTCGAGTTTTTGTTTTGTGTTTTTTTTCTGCAATATAATTTAGTGATTGCGCAATTGTAGTGCCTTTTTGGCCTCTGTGCCTGCGTCAGTTCTTATGTGAGTGCGAGCGGAGCGGAGTTTGATTGAGCGTGGCGTGTGTGAGAAGAGTGTGGTGTGTTGTCTTGGTGTGCGCGTGCGGTGCGAGTGTGCATAAACAACAACAAATAAACGAACGGGTAAAAACTACGGAATTGATTAGTACGAGTGGAAGTTTTTGATGGGCAACTCGCAAACAAGGCATGAAAACAGAAGGACATCGCAAAGCACTCGTGAAGCAGCGGCACAACGCCATGAACTAATCGAAACAGAAGCAGCGCCCACAACTGCAACTGCAACTGCAACTGCAACTGGAACTGCATCCACGACGAGGCCACAGCAGCAGCAGCAACAAGAACCACCACAGAGACGACAACATTCGCTACCTTCGACAACCTTTGGCTGTGGCGGCAGCAGTAGAAAATCCCTACAGAGACCTCCTGCCCACCCAGAGCCCCAGGCCGAGCCTGAGCCCGAGCCAGTGGCAATCAACAGCATCGGCGTCGTCACAGCTGAGGCAGAATCACAACCAGCAGCAGCTGCTGCTGCCGCATCGACTTTGAGTTGTGCGACAACGGTAGGATTACAGCAGCCGCAGCAGCAACAACAACCACAACCACGCTTGCAGCAGGTTCGTACAATATGGGCCACATGGGCTGATAACACAGTACATATGTATGTATCATATGTACATTTACTGTAGATATGTACTGTACCGATAGAGGTTCCTTTTCCCGCTGTTGTCCACATACTTTTTTGTCATCAGTATTTGTTTATTTTCCGTTGTCTGCTGTAAAAATAAATACTGCGTCATTGGCTGGTGTATGCTTCGTATTTTCCCATCGAATGGGCAGCAAATGAATTACGACGCGGTATGGCTCTGGCTATACTCTCTCCAACCGATCTCAGTTTCATCAAGATTTCCAGGTCACCAAATTCTGGGCTGAAGAGCACATGTTAGGGCTCTTCTGTTAACAGTTAACTTCCGCACTTTTCTAATGTTTTCATTTTGAGTACACAATTTCATTTGCATAAACATATACATATATGTATGCATGTGCGTGTGTGCGTGTGTGCGTGGAGTGTATACATATATATTTCCGCGTTCGCAAATTTCATTGTCATGCTATTTACCGCTGCGCAAATTCTGGCGTCATCAGAATACATACATATATGTACATACATATGTATGGATATATATAACACATACATACATATGTATGTACTGAGCATATAGAGTAAGCGTTATCAAATATGTGTTCTCTCTTTCTTTCATTTTCTTCCATGTGGGAAGGGAATTTCGATCAAAATGTTCGCTCTCTTTTGCCCATTAATCTCAGTTGGGGAACACCGCTCAAAACGAAAAACATCGAAAACATAAAACTAGTGCACATTTACATACATATGTAGTGGCATAAATCATGCATGTGCGCATGTATGCGTAAACATATGGAGGTACAAGTGACCTCACTCAAGGAATGATCGGGCCGCTACAGACGCGGCTTTTCGGGATGGATTCCATGAGACCTTTAAGCGTGAAATAATTCAAGAGCTGCTATCGGAGAGATTCTTTCTAGAAATGCCCCAGGCAGTAGACACATACATATAACGTTATCTTGAACAAACCCACCAACCACCCTCCCAGCCATCGCCTGTGGATTACACACCTGACCAGTTTCGTGGGACACCACTGTGCAGCCGTATGTGTGTGTGTGCGCCGTCTCGCTCGCTCGCTCGTTTTTTTTACGTTGCGCTCAGCTGTTCGACGATCGTTTTTGGCGGCGGCTGCTTTGAAATAAATAAATATTCACAAAAAGACACAAGTTTTCTGCACAATTAACTTTTCTAATTTCTCGCCCTCTCTCTCTCTCTCTGAATAAAGCAGCTTTCCACCTGGAGCCTTGGCAGTCTTAGCGGCGGGCGCGTTAATTGGAGCTTTTCGGCGGCTCGCAATTCCTTTCGGCATCGGAACAAGGCGACACGCAAGAGGTACGACAGACCAGTCCGTCCGTATTTTAAAATCCTAGTGGCAGTCATATTAATATTGTTCTAAAATTTTGTTCCAGCTCGACATCGCTACAGGGCTTCCGTCGCAGAAAAACGCAATGGCACCGTCCACTGACGAATTCAATATTTAGCTCGCATTTCAAGGAAGCCAGCCGCAACGAACAGTTCCAGATTGAACATCTTGTGGCGAAGGGAGCCTTCGGTGTGGTCTTCAAAGTGTGCAATAGGACGGACAATAGTTCGTGCTATGCCCTCAAAGTTCTTAAGAAATCAAAGGTAAGGTTCCTCGACGACAGATACAGACTCTCTGGTTCAAGTATTTTTGGTAACTCTCGATTTACGCATTGCATTGCAGCTAATCGAGGACAACAGCGTGCGACAGATAAAGGACGAGGCAGATATTCAGAAAGTCTGCGGTCATCATCCGTTCATCGTGCAGCAAATAGATCTGTGGCAGAACCGTCACAATCTTCACATTCGTATGTTGACTTAGAATGTTGCATCCTTTCATCATTTCGCAAACAATTGACCCCTGATTCTCTCATCTCTACTGCAGTATCCGAATACATACCGAATGGCGAATTGTTCTCGAAAATTGTCCACTTCTCCATTGACCTAGTGCGCCTGTACATTGGAGAGATTGCACTAGCAATCGGTGAGTTATTGAATGGCGGATTGATTGTCCGGCTGTGAATCATCTTCCGATAGCGAAAAGCAAATAACAAATTGCAAAAGCGTTAGCAATAGCCCTGATTAGACCCCTGATTATACCCAATCATACATGAGCACTTTCCCGTATTGACCTGTGGCTATTCCCTTACAGATTTCCTGCACAACGCCGGCATCATCTATCGCGATGCGAAACCAGAGAACATTCTGCTAACGCAACAATTTCACATCAAGCTGACGGACTTCGGGCTTAGCAAGTGGCTCAAACTGGGTGCAAATACGCGCACCATTTGTGGCACTTTCAAATACATGGGTACGATCTGAACCAACTTTAAGCAAACAAACAAACAAAAAACAATTACCAATAAAAACCAACAAAACACTTGTGTTTAGCTAGTAAGAGACGCCGATCCATCGATCCAAATCAAATTCAAACCGTTCGAAGAAGGTGTTGAGTTTGCCTAAAAAGGAAAACCCACACAAACCCCATACAATCTAGCAGCAGGGAACAAAAGCAGTATAGACAAATAGACAGCGCAGGAAAGGGCAGAACAGGACAGGCCGCATACGGCATACCATATAGAAACTAAGTTGAATGTAAATAAGAATCCAAATACAGGCAATTACGGGCAGAAGATAATTGAACTGAAAGCAATCTGTGAGCAGACCTAAAGTTAAATAAGAAAGGGAAACATTCTGTGGCAAGGGAGAGCAAGAACAGCAGAGCCCTCAAGCATCCATCCTTCAAGAAAGTACCTCCCTTAAGCACTGTGAATAGCACTGTATATCACGATGAACGCACGCTCGCAAGTGTTCGACCTGACTATGGAGGGTCTGCAGGTGGACGAGGCGGTGACCACCATCTTCCAGACAGTACTCTTCCATCGTTGCCTCGGCAAGTTCATGTACACGGGCGACGCCCAGTACTCGATCGGTACTGTCGGCTACACGGATGTCGACTGCAACTTCATTGACTTCACCTATGTGTGCTGCACCTCCGACAGCTTGACGCACAAGGTGAAGCGAGCCATCAACCTGTTCAGTGAAAAGCTGCGCTCCAACGAGAGCTGCGGCTCGGGGCAGATAAGCCTGGAGTTCTTTCAGAAGAAGAAGAACCGCTGGCCGTTCCCGCAGGAGTCCATACCGTGGGAGGTGTGGACGGTGCACCTCGATCTGATCAAGCACGAGAACGAGGACGAGCGGCAGCTGTGTCGCGAGAACGTCTCAGATCTCCTAACCGAAAAAGTCATATACATTACGGAGCTGATGAATCGGCACGACTATGTGCCCAAGACACCCAGCCAGAGCGAGCTGGACCTGATCTTCGACACATCCTTCCCCGATGTTCAGCCGTATTTGTTTAAGTTCGATTACTCCACCTCTGGCTCGGCAGCACCCTCCATGGGCAATGCCATGAAAAAGATCATCAAGGAGACGCTCGCAATGTGACTGGCTAAAGCAGGAGCTGGAGCCCGAGTTTTACTACTGTAGAAATACCAAGACAAGTGAACGAATAATACAAATTCAAATCGGAATACGAAGCCCGCGACCGAGAACTTTAACATTTTGTGACTATTATTTCTTAGTTCTGGAAACGTACAGTTTCAAGGCTTCAAGTGTTTCGTTGCGTTCCAAATCAGAGCCATTTTTAATGCTGATAGGAGTACGAAGTAGTTAAATATTTATTGTGTACCCCCCCCGAGCCGGAGCTTCAATATATTATGTAAAGGGACTCCCTTTGGACTCCTTCAAAGCTCGCTTTGTTACTACTTTTAGTTGTTAGTTATTGATTATTTTGTTAGTGCAGATACGAATCTGATGCGGTAGAGTGCCAGAAATTGCAATATGCAATATGTAGAAAGATCCATCATCCATCTTCAGATTATTCAGTGCTAAAGCTTGAGGAACTTTCATTCGAGTTATCTGCTAATGTATCGGCTATAGTCCCTTCCCTCGAGAGAGGAGGTACACTGCGTGACCTATCGTTTTTATATTTTCAAGCCCCTTGTGCCGCTTCTTAGTGCAGTCCAGTTCTTAGTGAGCGGTGCGATCTGTAGCACATCTGTATCTGTAGAGCATATAGAGTATCGCTTCGCTGTTTGTATTTACAATCATTAAATGGTTTTTAATCAGAAGAGTTTCGAGCTGTAGAGGTAGAGATAGAGATAGGAGTAGGAGTAGGGCCAGTCCCTTTAGAAAATGTTTGTTTTAGTGTGTTCCATGCATAAGAGTAGGACGGATATAGAGCCAGAATGGATGAGAGCGCTGTAGCAGGAGGTATAGGATTTATGGTCTACTTTTTCTTTAATCACAAAACTGAGTGAAATGTATTGAAGCAGAAAGAAACAAAAACCGAAACCGAAACCGAAACAGATACAGAGTTTTACTCATTGATGGACCAAGTGTTAAAGTAAAAGTAAAAGTAAAAGATACATTAGTTTTGATCAGTAATTGTATCGATTAATCTGCGTTAGATACTGGCTAATTAAACAACAACAACAACAAAATCTTAGGCTAAACTCATTCATTAGTGGGCCAAACACCCCACCAATCAATCAATCAAACGGCCCACGCGTGTCTCTTGCTCCAAAGCTTATCTTGAGCACTCCTAGACCTAAGTGAAAAAGTATCTATGTATCTGTATGCGTACATTTAAGTGTGGATTCGGTGCGGCAGTCGTCAATCTTCAATCGTCAAGCTTTTCCATTCAAATGGCTGCTGGCAGGCACCACTAACTATAGTTGCTTGAACTAACGTGTTACTTAATTAATAATATGTTATCGATCCGTGTAAAAAAAAAAAATGATAAATATGCAAAGAGAGGAGTGAGAGAATGAGAGGACGGCGGTAATTATTTTGAAATGATTGTGATTGTACTTGTAGTGATTAAATTATAGTTTTAGCAAGTACCAGACGAAAGAGAAGAGAGAGGAGAGGAGAGGAGAGAAGAGAGCTGTATGATAATTCCTAGAAGTTCTACTAACTTGAAACTACGCCCGAAGCTGAAGAGCATTCAAATTGATGATCGATCCATTGGGTCTGAATGGGAAATGAACTCAAAGCTCGCTCAAAGATGGCTGAAAATATGATATGGATATGCGCAGATGGATATGACAAGACGATAATACTGTCTCCTGCTATGGAAAAGATCAGTAGCAGATCAGAGTGGTGTGGTGTGGTGCCTGCCTACAGAAGCATCACAAAAATCTGTTGCACTTGGAACTTGTGTACTTTTGCATGGTGTTTTTTAGTTTATTAAATTTAATTAGCGATTGGCGCGACTGGCGACTGGCGCACCGAATCGAATCGAATTGAATCGAACGAACGTATGTCTGTATCTATGTAAATCGATGTCATGTCTGTATGTATGTGTGTATGTCCAAGCTATAAACGTAAACAACAACCAACCATAAACCATAAATGTACTTTGCAATTAAACAATTATTTGTAAAATCGAATTAAGCAGAATAAAACCTTTGAATCACACAGAACCTGAACACAAATTAGAAATGTAATTGGCCTTGATTTTGATCAATTTAATCCAATAAACCGTAAACCATAAGCCATGATCCATCCATTCAAAATCATACTAAATCCTCTTTAGAAATTCCATATTTAGCTGAGTTTTCGAATCGTTTGGAATCGATTCGAATCCGATATCCTACCGATAGTCTATCTCGTATGTAGATAGCATAGCTGTAATCAAAATTAATGGATTTCCGATAGCCTTGCCCCTCCCCCACTTATCCTTATATCCCTATATCCTTCATCAGTCCACTCTTCGGTTTGCCGAAGAACAAAATACTATTCATAGTTGATTGTTTTTGGTTATTATTTTGTTTATTTGTTTTCTTCCTTCACCAAAAACTGTTTTGTCGGGTGGGTAAACGTTCGCTCTCTTCGCTCTCATCTCATTCCAGCACCCGAAATACTATGCGGCGAACCCTACGGTCATGCAGTGGACTGGTGGGCCTTGGGCGTCATTGCCTGTCAGATGCTAACGCAGAAGGTAAGCGAGCAAAGTCGGTAGCCAGTAACCAGTAATTCCCATTGAGAATGTGTGAGCATGTGCCATGTCGGTAATCTAATTTAAACTAATCTGGTCTGGTCTGGTCTGGCCTGCTGCGATCCATCTATCGTAAAACGCATTACGAAGTGGAACTGGTTTGCAGGTGCATGTTCGGCGCATCTATGGGGAATACTTGATACTCTCCGACTCTGTAGAACTGTACAGCTGTACAGCTGTAGAACTGTAGAGCTGTAGTGGTGTGGATCGGGTCTGTAATTCGACCACACCACGGATGCAGCTTACGGATAGCGCCATTGACTGAGCCACTAATAGACGGCGTAGACAGAGGACAGACGACAGACTGCTTCCAACTGGTGCCTGTTGAAGTCTGTAATTCTGTAATTGGACAAGCCAAAGCCAGTTGTAGTTACATATGTATTTAGATCTCAGCCAATTGTCGCTTATAATTGCTGTTCAATTGAGAGGGAGGATAGAACCCAACCGCAAGGTTTCCCAAAGCTCTTTGAGGATTTATCAATGGTGTGTGTTTTTGTTTTTGTTTTTGTTTTTTTTTTTAATTTTTTCGCTTTTTATTTAAGAATTTTCTCAGTCTATATAAAATCATATATATATTTCTGCTCATATATACGCTATACCACTATCATCGTATTAAATGTAGTTTCATTAATTTAAAACTCAATTCAAAAAAAAAGGGTGAATTTCATTTATAATATTATTAATTAGTAATTATTAATATTATACCATACATCCGATATCCGATGCCTGCCTGCCGCCTTTCGTTGCTGCTGCTGCTGCTGCTGCTGCTGAATGGGATCATCATCGTACACAGGGGAGGAACCTACTCGTAGAGAAAGATACATAGTTGATAGTGTTGTGTTAGGGGGGGATACAGGATCTAGGGTGGGATGTAGATGTGGGTGTGGGTGTGGGTGTGGGTGTGGGTGTGTTGTTGTCTTGCAATGACTAAAATTTAATTAAAATTACATTAATTAAATTTAATTTATAAGTATAACTTTATGCCATCTTAGCGGTTTGTCCTGTTTGTTTTGTTTTTTTATTGTTATTGTTATTGCTATTTGTATGTTCCTTGCATCCCTTGCATTCCATTCTATTGTGTGTGCGTGCTCCGCTGCGGGGATTCAATCCCGATCTTCGCTTTGATGGACTGTGGATTATCTGGATCTTCGTATTTATGGATTTTTGTTTGTTCTGCTTTTGCTCTCCTCTCCACTCCACTCTCGACACTATCGTTTACAACTAAGAATACCACTAACTACGATCGTAATATTAAGGCGCTGGATGACAGTGGTGACAGTGGTGCTCGGGGGTCTAGGAATTGGGGTCTAGAGGTGTACGGGGGGCTGAAGATTGCCGTTCGGGTACGCTGCGGTTTAAAGGTTTAAGGGTGTAAAGCTCTCTCTCTCTTTCTCTCTCTCTCTCTCTCTCTCGCTCTCTCGCTCTCTCGCTCTCTCGTTCTATCTCTAGTTGGAAACGTTCTCCTTGGATTCGCTGCTCTCATCCGACTCCTTGGACTCGGAAGACTCCTCATTCTTCGACTCGGACTTCTCCTCCGACGACTTCTTTGGCTCGGCGACAGTGGGAAGAGGTGCTGCTGGAGCTGGGGCTGGAGCTGCAGCAATGGGCTGAGCAACTGGTGCTTCATCAATCTTCTTGGCTTCGGCAACTGGAGCTGCAGCTACCTCTGGCACGGTCTCCTCTGGCAGGGTCTTGGCAATGGTATCGGAAGCCACGGGAGCTGTCTGGCTCTGTTGCTCCTTGGCAGGCTCGGCAGCCACCACCTCGGGGATGTTCTTCAGGACCTGTTCTTCGGGCTTGCTGGCCTGCTGGGGATCGGCTGGGGCTGACTTGGCTTGGGCAGCCAGAGCGGCGGGTGCAGCGGCGGGCGTGATGCTGCCTGGGGCTACTCCGCCCTCAATCGACTTCTTTTCTGGCTGTGAAACGACTGGAGTTATCACCTGGATGTTGGTCTCTGACTTGGCAGCTTCTGCTGGAGCGGCGGTCGGAAGAGCAGCTGGAACTTCAGGTACCGAGGAGGCAGCCTCTGGTGCAGCAGCCTTCTCGTCCTTTTGCTCGACTTCGCTGATTCGCTCTTGGCGGGCGGGCTGCTTCTCAGGGGTCAGGGCTTCCTTCTCGGCATCGGCGGCAGCAGCGGGAGCGGCGATGGCTGGCTCTTCGGCAGACTTGGCGTCAATCTTGGGCTCCTGGGACTTGACCTCATCGACAAGCTGCTTCTGGACCTCGGCATTAGCGACTGGCGCTGGGGCCTCCACCAATGGAATGGCCTTGGGGGCCTCGATCGGCTCCTCCTCCTCGGTGCGGGCGGCCTTCTCCTGCTTCTTCTCGGCCTCGACAGGTGTGTCAATGGGCTGGGTCTGGGTCTTGGTCTGGGGCTCCTCAGGGGCAATCGGCAGCTTCTTCTCGACAGACTTGACCTCATCAGCATTGACCTTCTCGGGTATGGCCGGAGCAGTTTCCACATCGGGGGCGCTCAACTTGAGCTCTGTCTTGGCTGGCTCAGCGGATGCGGATGCTGCTGCTGGAATGCTGGCAGCAGGCTCGAGAGTGGCGACGGGTGCGGCGGGAACAGTTTTGGCATCGATTTTGGGCTCCAGTGGTTTCTCCGCGAAGGGCTCCGGCTTGAAGGGAGCCGGCTCAATTGGATTGGTCTGGACAGTCTTGCCCAATAGCTCAGCCTTGGATCCGGCATCCGGCTGAATAGCCACCTCCTCATCGGGAACCGGGAGCGCCCATACAGTGACCAGGCATACGGTGGCCACGAAAAGCAGTTGACACTTCATTCTGCAACGAGACACACCCACAAGGCACACAAAACAGAGAGAGAAGATAGTGTTTAATAATGGTATAAGATATATCTATATATGTATCTATAGCATTCAGAAAATGTCACAAAAACTGTGGCTGTCACTGTGACTGTGACTGTGACTGTGACTGTGACTGTGAGTGGTACATATATCTTACAGCCTGCTGCAGACTGGACTGGGCAAGGTGGTGCCATCCCCACACTTGCTCTCTTTCGAGGACCATCCGCTTGTCAGTATGCAACGTAAAACGTTTGCCATCTTTTTCAAGCGCTTACCAAGCGCGCGACACCACCTTTAAGTAATTTCATCTCTGGGCTGGATGGGCTGGATGGGCTGCATGGGCTGGATGGACTGTTCGGTAATTGAAATATTATTACATCAGTTGATTGCCAGCCAGCCTGCCAGCCTGCACAATGGTCTGGTCTCGGTCTCGCCCCCCAATCTGGACTTTCTATTCCGTTTGAATTCGCTTCGCCATTCCATTCCATTCATCATCCGATCCGTGCTTCAGCGTTACGTCTTCCGCCCCATCCCATCCCATCCCATTCCATTCCATTTTTTTGAAAAACGTTCTTTTGTAATTCGATTAAATCAAATTTTACCGCGCTCTCGAGAACTGGCGGAAAATTACAATTGAATTCGGTTGCGGGTGGGTTGCACAGTTCGTGGACCTTATGCCCGGTCTGCGGCTTGCGGCTTGTGGATTGTGGCATGAGGCGTGTGGCGTGTGGCGGGTGTCGTGTGGCATGGCGCCACATGGCAGAAGCGAGTCGGGAGAGTCCCCTGTCCTGTCTTATGTTTCTAAACCCATCTCTAATTATGGATCTTCTGACGATTGGCCCACATTTGCATCGATTAACGATCTGAAGACACAGGGCTTTGGCTGTGGCTTTCAGTATTCAAATTCATATAATAATTCGGACGGACTGTGGCTTTGCGACTTTGTGCAAATTTGTGCGCTGCTCTGCTCTGCTCATTTCCTTATGCTAATTATTTTGGTAGCTTTATTTTGTTGTTGGATTGGATTAGCAATAAAATCGATTCGACACAAATTAAAGAAATCATCAAAAAACTAACGGCTCTTCCTAGACCCAGACACGACCTAAATCGGTTCGATTCGATTCGATTGGATTCTGTCTTGATCTGTCGCATTCCTGAAGATTGTTTTTGGTTTCATAGTGGCCTCACAGATCGGATCAGCTCCGATTAGAGTGCCGTGCCCGCCTAAAGAGAGTTTTGACGATTCCAGGGGGGACCTAGATTTCTGTGTCGTGTGGCGTGTGTCTGCATTTGTATTATGTAACGCGCCGGGCATTAAATGTATCTCAAAGTATGCGGTACGATACGATACGATACGATCTTTGTAATTTATGAGCAGAGCCTGTCAGCTGAAACTGCATTTAAGTCTAAAGCCAAGTCTAACAACCAAGAAAATCCGAAACTCGTTTCGCACAAACGTTGCCAGCCACAGCCGCAGCAGAAAAGAAGGGTGGAGGGTGGTGGGTGGAGGGTGGAGGGTGGAGGGGGAAGGGGCAACACAAACGGGTCCCCGAGAGGCATTTAGATACATTTTGTGTATTTAAAGGATCTGCAGATGCAGATAAGGCACATTCAGGTGCAGTCCGTCGGGCAGTCAGCCAAGATATTCGGTATAGGATTTCAATTTTTGTGGTCCTTACTGGGGGGATGGAAGCCCCAATCCCCAACCTCCAACAGCCAATCCCCAACAACCCAATCCCCCACCCCGAACACCAATACTCACCTCTGGCTTATGTCGAAGTAGCTGCAGTAGTTTGGTTTAGGAGATTGAAGACCGTCGTTTGGTTCTGGCACTTGGTTCTGTTCTGAGTATCGCACAGATACGTTTGTATCTTTGTATTCGTTTATGAAATGGCGATTTGGGAATGTTCTCGAGTTTCGTTTCGCGTCCTGCTGCTGCAACACACGCACAAAAGTGTAAAAAAATATTTGAAAAAAAAGATGTTGTATTAGAGACTGTGTTAAAAGTAGTTGCAGTAGTAGTAGCGGGTAGTATCTGTGATTAGTAGGAGGAGGTTCTTAATCCGCTGCGCTGCGTGTTCTCACCGGTCAGTTTCAAGAAACACTTTGAGTGGATGCCAGCCACACGGGGCGTTT